GCTGTCTCCAGTTACGATGCTTTATATCGTCTTAAGCGGCAGTGACCTAACTGTGCCCTCAGGACACCGCTGTACCTACGGTCCAAAGCCACACTTTAATTGTGTTTTCCCCAGGCCGATGGCCGAGTGGTGTGCGCACATGGTTTGAAACCCTAAGGTCACCGGTTCGAATCCGCATAGGGGTGGGCGTCCTCATGGTATACTCGGCCTGCATGCGACTGGTGGTGGTCGCGTGACAGCGAAGCGCCGTTACGGCATACAGCTGGTGATTTGTATGTGACAACTCGTACTTTGCTAACATTCATCTTCATAGTTTAATGTTGACCTGTTAATACGAAGATGTAGAAGACACGTTTACTTTTAGCTTAGTCAGTAAACGAACTCTTGCTATCTGCTAGTCTTTATTTTCGGAGTGTCAGTCAGTCGTGTGAGGTTACGCGTTTTGTCTCCACTCTCAGCGAACCTGTATAACGCCTGGCGACTAGGTCCCTTAGGCCGTGCCGATCCTTATTCAGTTGGTCACTCTGTGCGTGGTGTATCATCGGTGAAGAGCGTTTTCTCCATACCAGCTTGGAGAATCGAAACAACTAATACCTTGTGTCGTAATGGCCCACTGTAAAGCAAAAACTATGTCTGGATCTCGATCAGCATTCTGTATAGTAGAGAAACACAAGCACTTTTTATACCTCCCATCAATCAGGGCCACTCAAAAACTGGCTCATTTCATCCGGTCGATCCTCTAGTGGTATTTACTTGAGCCCAGATCAATTCTCCATTTGCTGTCATCGATTTAGATATATCGCCGCGAGCAAGTAATAGGTCGGCCTGGGGTTATTACTATTCTCTCGTCAACTACCACCACACCTTATAACACCCCGGCAGACCCATCATCTGATCCTCAATGTTGGACTTTAGCATTGCATCTGTGGTATTTCCACAAAATGTGGACAATACTTCATGGAGGCCGTTATTTGACGTGTTCTCATACCGCAGGATGTTCACCCTGACAATCCTGTCGTGACTAGACTCTCCTCGCTTCAGCTGTCTCCATATTATCCCCACGCGTTTCAATCTATTTTTCCGCTTTTCACGCACGACGCATTTACTCTGCTTGCATCCATTTCTCTCATTGGTTCCAGTGGCTCAGCTTACGATGTTTTCTGTGCATTGTCGGCTGACTGGCCTTTGATGTTTTGTTCAGTTTGATCCATTCAATACTCAGAAATATGCTTTTTCCCCATAAATATTACTGTTTTCTCTTGTAGGGTTTTGGATCGTGCTGACTTGCCTGATGAAAGCGAAGTCCTTTTACACGTAGAGTTCTTACAAGACTCTTCAAAGCACCAAAAAGGTACTTGGTGTGTGTTAACACTTTGGAGTTCAAATCCGACTATTACTAGCTGTTCCTCCTCTTCCACCTTCTTGCCATTTCCATGGGAATTCTGCTGCGCTGATTCACTTTGTTTTCACTCAGAGACCTTCTAAGCCTCTACCCATTCAGTTGCGTTAATTTTACCTACCGTAATCTGGCTTTAAAATGCACATCAAACCTCTGCATTTCCTGAATCGAGCTGGCTTCTCGAACAACATCCTCTTGGCGCCAGCTAGGTGTTCCAGGATTATCCTCGTTCCAGCCAATGGTTTGACGGCAGTGTTCTAGCACATGGTGGGATTCCGCCTGACACGCGTTCTCCCTGTACAAGGTTTCATGTCCGTTTAACAAAACTGTGACTTGGTAGATGTGACTCTCCACTAAATAAGGTCAAGGCAGTGAGAAGACAGAGGTTGCGATGTGTCAACATTTCGATTGTTCTCTTAAATCGCAAACACAATACGATCAGAAACACACAAAGGATTATATACATGGAAAAAATAAGCAACACCAATCGAAATATCACAGTCAAGACCATGGTAACCGCATTGATTGCCTCAAGAGTTTCTGTGCACATAGCACAGGTTGATAGGCCTTAATTAACAACGCCTCCCTAATTACCAGCATTATCGGGTTTGTGTTACACAATGACACTTTGAACGCTGTCTCAGGGTTCGCGTGATGACGCGTTGCCATGAGGCGATTGATGATAGACGATGCAGGGCTCCGGTTAATTCTCAGATCCGTCCCATTTTGTTGCGTAATCACTTTGGCAAATGTTCAGCTACCCTCTGAGCTAACTGACGGTTTGTTCTGCCTATGTAAATGTCGCCGCAACCGCAGGTGAACTGATAAACAACGTGAGAGGCCGAACTACCCGACGAGATGCTCTGATGGTTATGAAGAACAAGTCCTCGCGTGGTATGCCTGAGTCGCAACTGGGCTGTCGTGTAGGTTCGCGTTAGGGCGGACAGGAGCCACATGGTCCCCCTTGAACGGCATGAACAAATAAACATCCTTTTTCTCAGCCGTCAGTACCGGTGGTTTCACGCTGGGAGGTCTGCTGTGTACTTGAATAAACTTCTCAGAATATACATTAGAAATGAAGGTCTTGCGTGGAATTTCTTCGGATTTTAACGTTTCTGGGTTACAAATACGTCTAGCCCGGTAGAAGAGGGTTTTCACTAAGCCGCGTTTGTATGCGATCGGGGCGAAGCTTGAAAAATGAAGGTACTGTCCACTCGAAATCGATTTGCGGTGAACAGTGAGTTGCAACGTATCTTCAGCCCGTTTCCTAATGATATGTCCAAAAATGCCAGGCACTTGTGGTGTTACACTTCATGGGATACCGACAGATTAGGGTGAATCGAATTCAGGATGACCAGCAGCCGGGTAAAATGTTCTCCGCTGGTGAAGATTAAAATGTCATCTACATATCGTCTGTTCACTTTCGCTTCACCAATGCTGGCAGCAACTTGCCTTTCTATCAGGCCGAGGAAGATGTCGACTAAAACTGGTCCTAAAGAGCCGACCAGCGCATCGGCTATGATGGATTCTGAAACCATGGATAATATAGAGAGAAGGAAAACTGGGCGGTAGTTTGAAGCCTCGGTTCTGCATCCACCTTTGGGAATGTTGGTGATCATTTCAAGCTTTCATATGTCAGGAACTTGGTTATGTTCTAAACAGCCCTGGACGAATTGGGTCTTTGGCTCTGCCAGTTGACTTGCTGCTGATCCCATGGTCTCTGATTGATTGCGTTAAAACCCCGGGGATTTGAATTCCCGTAACTTGGTCGGCTTCCGCAATGCAACACTGGTAGTAAATGAGATGTGACTGATTCCCGGTGGCGGGGTGCTAAAAGCAGGAGGATCTCCTGAGGATTATACTTTCTTGAGGGTGGAGGCATATTGCATCCGCCATGTGTTTGCTGCTTCCGTAGCCGTTTGTGTTGGGCTATTATCCGTCGTGAGTGTCGGCACTTGTTGCCTTACCTTCCGTTGTCGTGTCCATACAGCAGTTAGTGCCATGCGCTGAAGGTTCTTCTCTTATTCTTTTGATGCGCGGCTTTGTCCACTCTGCGCAATTGAGTGCAGTGGTTTCGCTGGGCTTCGTGGTTATCCCAGCTTTCTTGTATTGCTGATAATCCATACTCTCGCCACGTTGCGTTACGTACTGCCAGCAATTTGCGAATTCTGCTCCTTACGTAAGTAACTATTTCAGATCGTTTGCAAACTGTTGTCTTGGAAGCATCCGTAATCAGCCGACTGAATTTGTTTGCGAACTTGAGTCGTGCTATATTCTGGAGGTATTTTAGGCGGAGCTACCAGGATTTTGCCCTGACAAGCTTAGGTAATCGGTCGTCGCATGTGATGGTTCGCATTGTCTCATGGTCCGCATCTCGAAATTATGCATAGAAAATGAAGTTGAAACTAGTAACTGCATGATCTCTGCGACTTGACGCGCAGTCTACACAGATGCATGAAGCATTTTTTCTTTTGTACGGGTAAGTTCAAGCACAAATGTCTTATTACCTGTTCTGAACCGAGTGAGCCAAGTGACATGCATTTAAAGCGGAACACTGGTTACCAACTCTTGGAGATCGGCTTTAAATTGTTCTCCGCTCATGCCGTGTTGCTAATCAATTCACATTGAAATTACCCACGGCGATCAAGGAGATGAAATAAATGGAGCACCTAATGTTCCTACAGCCGGATAAAAGATCGGGCATTGTACTAATGAACAGGCTTGACTACATTTCGAAGATGGAGTCCACTCTGGGAGACAGCTAGATAATACACCGGAAACAATATCCTGGTGGAGAAGCATATGTCAAGGAAGCTCCAGATCCTCCTGCTACATGGTTACATCAATGAGTCGCAATACAGGCACTTAAAATCGACTGGAACACAGACACCTAGAATGAGAGGCGCTCCCAAGTTACACAAAGAGGATTCCCGCTACGTCCGATTATGTGCATGAACAATTCACCTTATCACAATGTCGCGCGGTGGCTGGCTAAACTATTACATTCGGTGCGTAAACTACTCTCTACGTGTTGCCTGAAAGACCCCTTTGAACTATCTGAGACACTGGAACAATTGTCACTGAGTGCAGAGCTTATGTCTACTCAATAGATGTGGACTCCTTATTCACAAACCTGCCTTTACGTGAGACGGTCGATAATTTATGTGATTTTCTCCTGATCCAGAATATGTCTGTGGGCCTGCCAGTGGAGTATGATTCTAGTGTGCACCGAGAACATACGATTTGAATTTAAGGGGACGACATACAAACAGGTCGACGGGGTTGCTATGGGCAGCCCTTTGGGACCAGTTTTAGCCGACATCTTCCTCGGCCTGATAAAAAGGCAAGTTGCTGCCTCGAGATTCGGCGATTCAAGGCTGCCGGCTTAGACAGATTTCCTCCGGAGATTTTCAGATACGGCGGGGGGTGGGACAACCATTAACCAGCTGACTTCGTTGTTCGCAAAAATCTGACACGAGTGAAAGGTACCTTTCTTATGGGCGAATCAATTATTATCCCGATTTTCAAGGAAAGCACTTGTACTTCATGGGTTAATCATCGAGAAATTAGTCATGTTTTGGTTGCCTCCAAGCTATTGCTTCGTAGACTGTCCCAGTATGTGAATCATGCTACCGTGACGAACATGCTGCTTCTCGTCCTGGTCGCGTAGTTCAAATCTTTACGCTCCGCTAACTCTTCGATCACCGCCGCAATTTCCAAAAGCCCACTATTGTCGCATTTCCAGACACACGGGCTGCATTTGACTTTTTTCATCGACCTGCTTTATGGTGTCGCTTGCTAAAGAACGGGGTGCCAGAAAAGTATACCGCCATCCTACGTTCGCTCTACCATCATATCTGCAATTAAGGTCTACGGTAAGCTTGAAAATGGGATAAAAGAAAAATCGGCGTGTGAAAACAAGTAAAAATATTTCATTCTATTCTCGATCAAACTGTATTTATATTTAATTCCCATGATTTTCTTGATAGCTCCACGTCCACTTCTCGAAACGCAATCTCGTTGCTTCGAAGCTTACTACTGATACTCTTTTCTCCTTAATATCCTGCAGAAAAGTTTCTGTTTCTGCCGCATTACATGAAATGCACGCACCTAAATTGTTCATTCTACATTTTTTGTTACTTCTCCGCCCTTCCACACCTTATTCTCCCGCAATGCACGTCCCTTCGCCAATGAACGTAGTCTTTTTAGCCAGTCAGAGGGCAGTAGCCAGATTGCATCTCCATGTCTTACACCTAAGGGTGTTTACTTTAACCGATGTCGATCTGAGCACGTCCACTGTTACTTCTGGAGTACGTGTACGCGCTGCTTGTCTAGGTTTTTGTCACATAACTTTCATTTACACCAAGATTTATTTCGAAGCAAATTGCTTTTTTTCGATCACAAAGATCCTATACAAAACGGGAATCTTTTCGGTTTATAGTCTGTCAGCGCTGCCGTACTCCGCCGCTTTCGTTCTTGTAACTATTCTTCGGGTTTAGATAGCCTGGCTTAAGATTCGGGCACGAATACTCGTGGGTACTGGCTTCCATATTTATCGAAGTAACTGTCTGCCTGGAATTGCATCGCTGTCCAGATGGCCGTAACTCATCTTCATTCTACACGTTAGGTGTGAGAAACACCCCAGATATTGTACCGCCTATCGTAAAGCGAACAGACGGCGTACTCACAACCTAGGCCCACACAGGCGTTATTCATGGGCCATGGTAGCTGTGTGGTGGAGACTTCACTCGGATCCTTCGAGGCTCTTGTTTCTGTGGTCAACACCGAATAACTCTATCTGATTTGTGCAAACAGGTTGCAGTGTTGAGAACGGGTGACATCGGAAATCGCCTGAATAGAATTTCCTCTGTGCCCTATTCTTTCCCCAGTACTGGTGTTTTTGTCACCTCTGTACATCTCTTCCGACTGCCTGGGCGGATAGTTCGTTCTCTTCGACTCACGAGTTCCACGTACCATTCGCTTTCTTTTATTCTTGTCTCTAATCAGAGCGGGACCTTTTACTCGGCTTCTTGCCTTTTTCGGCAAAAATCTTTTTTTACCTTATCTACTGTGGACATATCATTTTTGCAAGAGTAAGCTGGTGGATCTTTTCTTAAATGAACCTTCAAGGTCACTAAGACCAATCTACCAATCTAAACGCTGAGATTTCACGCACGATCCTCGATCTATCTTCTTTGGACACAAATACGTCAGTTGTCACAAGTTATGAAGCAACGTTTTAAAGGAACTTTGCCCCTTTGAATGGACGCAAACCCCGAAGATATTTTGGAACGTTATGTACTCTTTGCTTGACCTAGCTATGACTTAACCGTTCTCATTTTTCTACCTATTTGCTAATTTGAGCACTTTTGATGGTGCCCGTCTAGTAAATTTCCAATTGATAGTGTAGAAAGCTGAAAATGCACTCATTTGGATACCTAAAGCATATGCTTACTGACTGACGCTGGTGGTGCGATAGTTTGGTGTCGTATACTCTAAGCAGATGATGAACGCCTGTTTTTACGCGATTTTTGTTATTTTGACTGCCGAGACACCTTCGTTGTGCATCTTATGTTTAGTTGTAAAAAATATATCAACAAATGCCTGTTTAGTCTTTGCTGGTTGCCGCAGTGGAACTTTTCATGCGCCTGGGCTACTTAGACAGTTGCGTACTCTTTCATGGGGTCGTTGCTTGGTCATTACCTTTCTCATTATTATCGCTTCGTTTCCGATCTATAGGTTTTGAGAATCACAACCCACCTATTTACCCTGAATATTTTATTGCATGCATCCACGTTCTCGGTTTCTTTCTTCCAATTAATTATACTGTGCTTTAATCCCATCTTCTCCCTCATTGACACAATTACTGGTACCGAGGCTTACCATGTTCTTTGTATGTTCTTGTGATCTTCGTTTCTTTCTCCCAGTTCATGTGAAACTTCGTAGTCTTCACTTCTGCGCTTCCATGGACTATCTCATGGCGCTGGCTGACTTCCATCTGAAGAGTTATCCGAAATTTGAGAAAAGAGTCACGGTACTGAATCCAATTACAGAATCGGGCAAACGAAAACGTAAAGAGCATCCGGTTTCATCGAAAAGAAGTAAGTTTGTTTGTACTGTTGCTCCCACTTTGTACTTCTCCTTAAAACAGATCCGCTTCAGATATAGCAGCAGCAACAACTACATTAACCACAGCAGTACATCAACCATTTGAACTGATGCTTCGCTGCCATACCAACCATGATGACCTGTGCAATAAAGAATACGAAGAGGGAGAGAAAGGGACTTACCGGAAAACCTTAATTTCCTAAGCAAACATTTCGAGGTCAAGGCGCCTTGTGTTCACAACATACCGTCACAAACAGCTGGCTATCGTGCAAAGATAAGGTACCATCATCCGGACAGGTTCGTTGCGGCTTTCACTACCGTGCGTCATAATCAGCCATTGCTCTGCAGCTAACTCAACACCAAGCACACTCTAAACAGACAGTCCGACTAGGAGACAACAGCAGATATGCCACTGGTGTCGACTTCGAGCCAAATCCTCTAATGTCTCAAGCCAACAACAAGGGGAGTCATTTGGACTCCAACCCAGAAGGCAAGACAGACCAACGGCACCCAGTTTGGTCGTCAGTGACATCATTTTCCTCTGTAAAGTCAACTTTTATCCACCTCGTGCCTTAGTTCATCCCATATTTGGCCAAAGGGAGGCAGTAAGGTAAGCGGTGGTCATGCAAACGTAGTACTTGCCCAGGCCAACTTATTCAGTGGTATCCGTTGTTCTAGGGAACTCACTTGCTTATCACTGCCTAGTACTCACATACGTATATCACCGTTGCGGACATGTTGGTGCCGAGTAGCACCAGCAATGCTCCGCAGAGAACAATGACCAAAGACCTGAAAGTGTCGCAGATTATCAGACCGCAAAAGCCCTTACTGTGGTCTTGTAAATACGGCCTTTCAGATTGAGGGAAATTCCATTCTGCCGCCAAAGATGCCGCAGGTTCAAGAAGGCAGTTCTGGTTTTTGCTTTGCGTAAACTGACTTCAACTGTTACGCGCCCATCTTTGCTGGTACAGCTCCCAAGGTAGGTGAATCAATCAACCACCTCGAATTTCTCTTTATCAAGAGTCAAGGGGTCATCAAGTGGCTGGTGCTCCTGCAACAACACTGTACTTTGAAGGTGAGAAGTGCATACCAAATAATGAGACCACTCTAGACAGGCTATTCAGGGTTGATTGTGCCGCCCCAACATCGTTCAACAGCAAGGCGATATTGCCCGTATAATCAAGATCAACTAACCTTTCATCAAGCGTTGGGAGATTCCGTAAGGAAACACTCCATGGTGGAATCCACGACGAAACTGAACAAAAACGGGAAATCAGACCACCGTGACGAACGTCATTCGTTGTCAGAAACCTATCCGACAGGTCACCGTAGATCCTGACGCTGCCTGTAATGTTCGAGTATAGAGCACCTAAGATATTCACATATTTCGTGGGAACACCTTTCCGCGTAAGTATTCCGAACAGGATGCATCGATCTACTGAATCGAAGGCACTATTCAAGTTGAGGTACACAGCTATTATTGGTCTGCAGTATGCGTGGCGCTGCTCTAGCACTTACCGCAGAGTGAACACATGGGATCTATAGAGCCGCGTCCCGGGCGGTAACCTGCCGGCTCTTCCCTAATCCGAGATTCCCGTTCCGCACTGAGGCGACAAACAAGAATTGAGGCCACTAGTTTTGTCACAACTGGCGTTAGCACAGTCTGTGCGACAGTCCTACTTGTATTTTACCGCTAGTATCGATTCACTCCAGTTAGCCGGGACATTCTATTCCTTCCAGCTATGTTCGAATGAGGAGGCCAGTGCTTCGCAGAGAATCTCACCTCTGCTCTTAAATAATACAGGTGGGAGGGAATCCGGGCCAACAGCACGAAAACGATTGAGGGCTGTGATCGCGTTTCGTACCTATGCCTCCGATAGAGCCTCTAAACTAGCCGCCCATGTCTCGCCCTGCATCAACTCGGTCGGAAGAAGTCCGGGAGCAGTGGGCTCACTAAACTGATCTTGAAAGTGTTCTACCCAAGGAGCCATACGGCGCTCCTTAGTGTGTATCAGTGCACTCGCGATGTCTCTGATTGTCTCACTAACGCCTAGTTTCCTGGTACCGATGATGCGAATTAGCTGGAAGAACTCGCAGTAATTAGCTACCGCTCCTGCCTTCTCCATTTCTTAAACCTTACTTATCCACCGGACTTCTTTGGCAGCACACAGGCTTCGCTTTAGTTCGCGCCAATAGTCCGTCTGTGCTTAAAGCCACCCGAGAGTACTCTGGCTTCTAATAGGTTCACCGACCTCTCGGATGTCCGGTGACTGCTGCATGATCATTTTGACATAAAAATGCGTGATTAAGAATGTGCACAAATCCGATATGTTTGCCATAACGGTGTATGTATGTGTAGGGGGCATGTAAAGTATGTAATTGTGCGTGTGTGTACGTAGCTGTGTAGTTTCTGCTTGTAATTGTGCTGCTCCATTCTTGAATGTTTGGTATCATCGGCAATGTGCGAGTAGAAGATTGGTGTCCCTGCGTTGGAAACAATTATCCGGATATCCACGGAGCAGTGACTTTATTTTGTGGATAGTCACAACCGCCACCTCACAGTGTTGTTAAGCAGACATTTGTGACTTTTATAAAATGCTTGCCAGGCGAAAACCCACCACCTTCTGGAACACTGCCGCCGAACTGTTTGCTGGAACGGGTTAAACCCGAACCACTCAGATGACACCACAATAAGGTTGTTCAACTAGCCAGCCTGATAGTGCCACAAGCTGAAGCTTCCGCGTCGTGCATGGCGGCCGAGATCCTTTTCACTGAAGCTCGGTGTCATTAGTATCATAGAGCGAAAGTTCGGTACGCATTGCATCCAAATAGGCATGCCTGATTGGGGGAGAGGCTTGATGCGCCTTCCAGTAAAGTCCATATAAAAACGACATCCTACCAATGCATGATCAGAGTCGACGCCGGTATTTCCAAAACGAGCGGCAATCCTGGATGAAACCACACCACCTGTAGCTTATGGCAATTTAGGTCCATCGCTGTCCAGCTACAGGAGGAGGCCAAGTGGCACTTCGTCGCCCTCTGTCTACAAGCAGTGCTACTACAAAACAGCTGGTGCTCCGCGCACAGCTGCAACAGCCGCTCGACATTGTCAGTCCGTTCAGAGTTAAGCCCATAATTACCACCCAGCTGAGCTTCTGAAGAGCTCATACGCCCTATTTCTTTGTTCTTATCCCCTGCATGTACTGTGATATCTGAATTAGTAGCACTGCATAGTAGCGCGTTCACTTCGTGATAGAATATATCTGGCAGCATCAGAACTGCGTTCCGTTGGATCATAAGCAGAAATCACAAACATGGTTTTGTACTACTTCGTGAATCAACCTTAGTGGATGTCGTCAAACGGGCTGCACACAAACGGCTGTTCACCGGAATCCAATCAATCAAGAATAACTCAGCCAAACAAATTTCTGATGCTCTGGCCACCGCAGAGGATAATCAACGGTGCCCTATCTGCTGCATCGAGCAGGGTGGATAGGGGTTTGGATGCTACTGCTCAGACCTTCCCATCTTCTTATTCCCCTTCTTGCGCTTTTTCACCCTTATCGTCCCGTTCCAGCTTTACTTTTATCCCCCCTGTTTTCAACCCCCCAATTCACGGCCCTCCCCCACCTTGCTTCAATAGTCGCTTGTCTTTTAGTTTCAACTCACAGGTGAACGCAGAGCGTCATTCCTGCACTGTCAACAGGCCTATGTCCAAGCAAGCGGCCCATTCCAGTTCATCGGCTTCCATTTGGAGCCCTCGATCCTCCTTCAGACTGGCATGCCTCAATGTTCGCACATTGCTTCAGATTGGTCAACAGGCAGCACTTGCCCGAACATTAGAGACCCTCTCGATCGACATCTGCTGCTTATCGGAGACCCGCCTGCAAGACTCGAGCTCTGTACTCACTCTGCGATCCCCTTCAGGTGACACTAGCAGCACTTTCTCATTGCGCCTATCCGGTGACGATGCAGCTTCGAGCACCGGCCAAGCCGGTGTTGGTATTGCCCTGAGTCCCCGGGCTGAAACTGCTCTGGTTGATTGGATTCCAATCAGTAGCCGGATGTGTGCGGTCCGATTGGCTGTCTCGTTCAAAACTTCGAAGTCGCGCGGGACTAACAGGTGTCTATTCGTTATCGCTGCCTATGCACCGACAAACTGTAGCGATGACTCGGTAAAAGACGACTTCTATCGCCAAGTGAACGAACTCCTTCGCCACAGAAGAAGCTCGGACACCGTAGTGCTGGCTGGGGATCTGAACGCTCAGGTTGGAAAATTATCCGCAGATGAGCTGCATCTGGGCGGCCAACATGGTATAGGCTCCCGTAATGATAACGGTGAGCGGTTACTTCATTTGTGTGAGGATGCTCGCTTATTTCTTGCGAGCACTAATTTCCAACACAGCACCCGCCGGAGGGCGATTTGGCGCCCACCAGCTATGGACGCAAATCGATCATATTGCTATCAGTTACCGCTGGAGAGGCTGCGTCCAGAATTGTCGCTCGATTTGCAGCACATGTGTGGACACCGATCATGCACTTGTATGTGCTGACCTGCGGATGCGCTTTGGCGGACGCCCGCGACGATGTTGTGAGCGCATTGACACCGGCAGACTGGTGAATCCAGCTGTTCTGAACGCCTATCAAATTGCGCTGTCATCCGAGTTGGATAAACGCTCATTGGATGCAATTGAAGCTCACTGGTCTCATATGCAACAGGCCTTACTAGCAGCAGGCAAATCCTCATGTGGTATGTCTAATCGCCAACATGAACATTGGGTCTCTTCACAGTCTTTGGAACTTATAGATGCTCGCCGGCATATTCCGGCTGGAAGCGAACACAATGAAACTCGCAAAGAGCTACGGGCAAAACTCCGTGCTAGCCTGAAGAGAGACCGCGAATCCTGGTGGTCTCGTCGTGCAACAGAGATGGAAATGGCCGCTGCCCTTGGTAACCATCGTGAGTTATTCCGTCTTATACGGGAAACGGGCA